AACCCGTTTGGTGGGACTTCTACCTGTCGTGTCCTGGCGTCATTACAGTATTGTTTGTGCTTCTGACTCTTATAAATCTGTAAATCTAATTTCCCCGGACTGCTTTCAGTTTGCACATCACCTGGGTTTTTGTTATTGCGGTTTTCTCGTGAGACAAATGTTAGAACATTTGTTTTTTTAACGCATGCGCACTTAGTTTCAAGTTTCAAAGAACATAGCATCATCTAGTGGCGTGATGAAGGAATTACACCTTTGCCACGTCTACGGTTTCAGTGTAAACAGAGATTGTAATTAGAACGTTTTCATGTAAATGTGTTAATAGAAATGGAGGGGGAAATTTTTTCAGTTTTCGTTGGATTGTTTTCGTGTAAACAGGGCCTAAATTTACAGAAATGCTACCATACTAAAAATACAGTTAGACTGCAAAAAGAAATGTTCCTTCACGTGAGTTGAAAACATATTGTTCAATGACTTTCATGCCAGTTTCAAACTAAGATCATATTGTTAAAAAATGGAGTTATAGCTCATTTGGTCAAACATTAAAAAAGGCTCAATGGGATTAACCTGTATAAAAAAAAAAGGTTGAATGAAAAACGTACAATAGTGCAAGCTCTCATGTGATCTGTTAATGCTCGGAGTGTGTTGGAGTGTGTTGTTGTGAATGACTCTCAGCTACTTCTGCACCAAATTTTAACCTAATATCTGTCAAACTGACAGCACTGCAACCATTTTCTTTTGACTTGAGCCGTTTTGTTCATTGTCTCATCCCGAGGTTATTCAATTCTCATCGGGTCTTAGTTGGTTTCCATAACATGGCCATCCAAAACTTCTGTAACATTATTTTCCATTCAAGGCAAACACAGCAAAGCAATGTGCAAATAAGGGAAACAAAGTCACAAAAAAAAAAAAATCAACATCCTCTGCCACAGTTTCCAAAAGTGCTGTGGCCAAGTCAAGTCCACTTTCGTTTATTCAGTGGATGAGATATTTTGCTAACATGCACACCCCCTTACCGAGAAGAGATAAAAATTAATATTGTTTGCCTTATTAAACCTCTTAAACTTATGAACCTTATGCAAAGAAGAGACAATTTGTTGGTTTGTGACTTATCATTTCTTTGTGTTTATTGTCAGTGTGCAAAAATCACAATTGTTTCAGTGGCACATGCAGCACCCACCGTATGACTGCTTTTCCGTGAGTGCAGTCAAGTTGAGACAGTTGCACTCCGTGAAAAGGAAAAGGACAAAGATGGCTGCAGTGTGTGTCAGACCAGGCTGTCCCGTTTCATCCACATCAACCTGCACACATTTTCTTTCCTCTTGGCTGAATAGTGTGTCCTTCACATTTACTGGGAGGTAAGTTGCTCCCCTTATTTACTGGTACACAGATACTGTTAATCATTGTTTTCTTATGATCTTTCTTTGTGCTTGCTCAGGATGGGAGACTGCGACTAAGTGAAGATTCAATGAGTCTGCTGGCTTCCTTAGATAGAGAACTTTCCTAATTTACTATGTACTTTGTATGTGAATGCTCCTGTTAAGTGCCCTGAGACAACTTTGTTGTGATATGGCACTATATCAGTAAACTGAACTGAACTGAATTATGACAGGTAAAAATGCCAGCTATTTAAAGGGATAGTCTATCACCTGTCACCTTATTCATTCCTGCTTTATCTTGACAAAGGCGAACGCTTTTTCCTCCCGCTCCCGCTTCCCTCCTGCTTCTGCTCTTTGTCCTGTGAACCCTATCAGAGCCTCTCTTTACATATCTTCCAAATTGTAAATTATGGATGTGGTCAGCTGGTCTCTCAATACAATTGATAAAATGTTCTCGGCAAGAAGACAGGGCAAAGGAGAGCCCTCTTGCCCTGACAGCTGTATACACGATGGATTCCTGGGGGCAAGAAGATCATGTGTCTGTCCATATTGTCGGTTGAGGATGTAGAAGATGCATACATAATTGGATTTATAACAGGATTTCTGCTTTTTAGAGTTGCTGGTTACCTGGCATATCGACAAATGTGAAAAACATCAGCAGCTGTTCTGGCCATTGTGAGGCTGCCCTGCTTGTGTGATGGAGTGTGCCGTGTGGTGAGCATTCAGACTCAAATGTTATGTGA